CCGACAGGGGGCGGGGGGCTGGGTTTTAAAGACACACTCACCCGAGCCGCGTCCGGATCGGCGCCCAGAGCGCGGCTCCAGGCCGGGAGGGGACGGCTGGCCCCACCTTCCCGGCCCCGCTTCCTCCTTCCGCCCTCCCACCCAGCTCGGGAGGAAAAGTTTGGGGCGGGGGAGACTGCCTGGGAAGCCAGTTCCTCTTCTCTGGTCGTGAATTCGGTTCGTTCTGGAAGATACCCAAACCCGACCTCCAGCCTGCGGGCTGGAGAAAGAAGCCAGTGCGGTGGGCGCCACACCCTCTCCCGGACCCAGCCCCCCGGCCTGGCTCCCCTCGCCCCTCTCAGCCCTGTAAAGCCAGGAGGCTTACTGCGCTGTGCAGCCCGATCGAGGCGGTTGCCTTCTCTGGGCCTCGGCCACTCCGTGCATCTAGAGGCGAGCCCTCCTAGCCCCGGAAACCCAGCGAAACGCGCCCCTCAGCCCTCGGAGGCGAAAAGGGGAGATCTGGCAAGAAACTTGGAAGGGAAGGGGGTCCCCCTGTCCCCACCCCTGGGCTCCCGTGGGTGGCACGCGCAATCCCCGCCCCCAGGGGAGCGGGGTTGTCACTGCGCGCCGGGCCCAGCAGCCACGCTCGCCCTCCCCTCGCACGCGCTCCCGTGGGCATCCACGTGCGTTCACTCTCCACCGCGGCTTCCTCTCCGGAGTCGGGCTTTGTTGTGGTTGGTGAGTCACTTCCTCTTTCCACTCCGTGTTCGGAAATCCTTATTCCTCACCTGTCACTACCTGCCTCGCTCCCAGTCTGGACTAGAGCTGGAGCGGATGGAGCCCAGGTTCCCCATAATGAAGGCAGCCCGGGCCTCACCTCTGTCCAAAGTCGGGCCAGAAAGCACCGGGCTGGGGAGGGGCCCTCAGGCCCGCAGTCCCCCTGAGCCCTGGGAATACACAGACCAGAGAAGTGGTTGTCATTTGAGGTGCGTACCCGGTCCCCAGCACCTCGGTCTCACCTGCTCCACCCGGGTGATTTTAGGAGTGAAGTGCTTTTACTACCCCTGTTTCAGTGGATGAGGACATGGCCGGGAAGACTTGCCCTGGCTCCAGGCCTCCTTCCCTGCCTGAGGTGTGCCAGGAGGAGAAGAGCAGAGAATGCCCCTGAGCGCTCTTGGGAAGCAGATCTGACCTTCAGATCTAGGCTCAAACTGGCTCATGGTGTACTGGCCGTGTGGTCTGGAAAAAGTGACATAAGCTCTTTGATCTCCAAGTTCTTCATCCAAAAGATGGCCCGTCCTCCCTCAAAGAGAGGTTGATGAGCCAGGAAGCAGGGGGTGATGCCCTGGCCTAGTGTGTGTCACATTGTAGGCTCCATCCTTGGACACGGTCCCCTCCCTTCTTCCGCAGGCCACAACCCCATAACCCACCCTCCTGCCATCCGACTCCCCAACTGATGACCCGCCATCATGGGGAGGCTGTCCTCAGCCAGGACGAGATAGGGCTGCGCATACGCACTAGCATGTGCATGCACACATACATGCATGCACATGCACACATATACATGCATACACTCACAGCTCCCCCAGCCCACTGTCGAGCAGATGCTGGAGTACATGGCTGGCTGTCTCTCCAGACTGAGCTCCTGGGGGACAAAACTCCATCTCCGGTCCCCAAAACAGTGCCTAGCACAGCATCATTCACTCGTATGTAGCCACCATGCAACGGCAGGTGTTCTTGTTGAATCAGGCAGAACAGCCCAGGGCAGAGGTGTCCCCAGGAGAGCCAACAATCACAGCCCTTCTGGCTCCCACAGACAGCCTTCGGGCTCAGCTGGTAGGCCCCAGAAGTAGAGGGCTGGGCCACGGTGGGACCTGGAAAGCAGTCAGCTCTGTGCCTGTGTGCAGAACCCTATGCGATAAGCCGCACCCCAGCAGCAGTTCATGAGCCACACTCTCCATTAGTGTGTGCTCTCTCCCTCTTTCCGTTCCCTCCACCTTGTTTTTAGTAAAACTCTTCTCCTGAATCAGGAGGAGGAGGAGGAGGGAGATGGAGGCGGAGGAGGGAGGATTAAGGAAGGAAAGAAGGGAGGGAGGGAGGGAATGAGGGAGGGAGGGAGGAAGAGAAGAAGGGAGGGAAGGGAAAAGTAGAGGCCTGGGGTCTCTGAGGTGTCTCAGAGACAAACCACGGACTGCATCCAGACCACAGTGTCCAGCCTCATCAGCTCACCCCCAGTCCTGAGGCTCTGCCAAGTCCTGTGTCCCTGGCTGCCTGCTGGCCATGGAGCTGGGGGTGCCCCCAACAACAAGAAAGCCTTCAGGACCAGATCTGCCCCACCATGTCCTGAGAGGGGGAGGGAGCTGCACATTGAGGGAGAGAAGAAAGAGGGTCACAGAGCAGCCCTAGGTATACCCCAGAGAAGGCCCTCTCCCCAGCCCCAGGCAGAGGGAAGAACAGCTGGGCCAATTCTCTCACCCAAACTGTCACAGAAGCCCCCTGAGGCCCGGACGCTCAGAGCAGAAGCCCAAAGTCCCCGAGAGAGGAGCCATGGTCCCAGAACAGGACCTCCATCCACTCAGCCAGCACCCCACCAGCTTAACCACCACCCCACACCCACATGCACAAGCACCCAAGAGATCACCTTATTGTCCAATGAATGCCAGGGTCCTGTGTATAAAAGTGTGCTTATGTGTGCACACATATGTGCTTGTGGTGCTCATGTGTGAACTCACATTCGCAAAGATGTGAATAAGGGAGTGCATGTTTGTGCAAGTGTCCAATAGGTGTGAATGTAGACGTACAAATGAGCATGTGTGTATATGTGATGATGTGTCTCACACACACAAACCAACCTACTACAGTCCAAAGTCAGGCTGCTGCTGCAAGGAAGAGTGAATAAGCCCATTACTCATGCTTCTAGAAGAACTGCTGTGGCCGTCCACAGCCCCCTCTGCCCCAGCAAGCAAGGTGCTGGTGCTCCTGGGGAGAGCTCCCAAGTTTGGTCCCTGCACAGAAAAATAAGCTGTAGGGAACCCCTGGTTCCCTCGTGGCAATGCTCAAGCCAAGAAGTAGTTCCTGACAGGCACAAATGACTCGCTGGAAGGCAGAGGAGCTGGGTTCAAACCAGCAAAGATGAGACTTGACAAAAGACGAGAAACAGACCCTACTCCTCTCTTCTGCTCCTTGTTCCCCACCAAGCCCGCCCCAGCTGGGGACACTGGGTCCGAGGAATGGACAGTGTCAGGGCAGGAAGCCAACCTGACCTTGCTGCCCACAGCCACGGTATTGCCAAGAACTGGGGCCCACAAAGGCCCTCCAGGTGGGTGTCTTGGAGCCTGCAGGCTTCCCCTGAGGCAGATGATCTCTGAGACTCAGGTTTGCAAGCCTGCTGCCCAAGTCCCCACCGAGACCCACCTCCACCTGCCCTGGCTGCCTCGGGTCCTTCCAGGCCCGCTGCCCAGTCCCCGGGACCCAGCACCCCTCGTTTATTCAAGCCCCTTCTGTGTGCAGTCCAGCTGCTTGAAGACCCGGGCTTGGAGGAGGGCAGGGCTGCCCGTGATCTCGCCTCAGCAACTACACCACTATGTGACCCCCACCCCTAAAAACATGACATTTCTCCAAGTCTCATTATTTTCATTTGTAAAATTGTGTGACGAGCAGATCCTGCCTCCGGGAAATGTCAGGGGGACTAAAGGGGCCTGGCACTCAGCCAGAGCTCACTGGCACAAAGCTCTTGTTATTGGTACTGGTGTTGCCACCTGAACTCACACTCTGACCCAGCCCTGAACCTGCCAGGGCAGAGGGGTTCTTTGGGGCTGAGTTCAGGTTCCACCTCCTCCTGGTAGTTTTCCTGGCTCACAGGGTCTGTCTGCGCTTGGACTCCTTCCCCCATTACCTCTGTGCAGGGGCTTGGACCTGAGCACCCCTGCCGGGCACAGAGAGTCTGTTCAGTAATTGGTATTATAATTAAAAGCAAGATTATTCCTTTTATCATCGGTTGTGCCCTCAGGCCCAAGGATGACATCTGCCTCCTCCCAAAGTCACACATTGCTTTCAAATATTTTTGACCAAGAGTCAAAGTAAACGATACATTTTACATTGGACCACCAGGTCCACAGAGAAAAAAATGTGTGTGTGTTTTACACACGCACGCACGCACACACGCACACACACACACACACACATATGGGCGCGCACGCACACACATGCTTAGCCTTACTGTGTGTGATGCGTCCTGATTCGGTCTTATCCTATTTCTTTCTGTTCTTGCTGATTGCGTTGCACAAAACTGATTTCACCTGTGACCTGCAGTTTGAAAATGCTCTACGAATGATGAGTGCCTGAGAGCAGGGGGACCGCCCTCCCATCCCCAGCGCCACTCAAGAGTGCCCAGGAGAATGCTTCATCAGAAGAAGAGAAAAAAGGGAGAAGGGCCTGGCTAGCATGGCTCAGTGGTTGAGCATCAACCTATGAGCCAGGAGATCACAGTTCTATTGCTGGTCGGGACACATACCTGGGTTTCAGACTCGATCCCCAGTGTGAGCTCACTGGCACAACGGTGTGAGGCGTGCAGGAGGCAGCAAATCAATGATTCTCTCTCATCATTGATGTGTCTACCTCGCTCTCCCTCTCCCTTCCTCTCTGGAATCAATAAAAATAAAAAATATTTTTTTTAAAGGGAGAAGGAATCCTGACTCATTCTTCATTCAACAAATAGTTCATTCATTCATCAGTCAATCAGTCAACAAACATTAACAGAGCCCCTTCCATATTTCAAGCCCTGTTCTGGGCCCTGAGTGGTGAACAGGCAGATGAGGTCCGGCTTTCATAGAGCTGACATTTAATTGGGTGTGGGTGAGGGATATCATAAACAGGTAAACAAAAACATAATTTCTGAGCGAGTCATGCTATGAAGAAGATAATACAACAGGATGATCTAGAGTAGTGCACTGGTGGGGCTACTTTAGAAATGATGGAGGTCGCTGAGCCGCAGCTACCCCATCTATAAAAGGGCAACAGTGACATTTACTGGAGGATGTGGCTATGGGGCTTACATGGGGCAATGAGTTCAAAACGCGGCACCACCCTTTATTGTCATTGTTATTAGATAAATAAGTACGATTGAAGATAGGCCGAGATAAGTCCCACAAAGCATAAGATTGCACTGGGGCTCGGAAGAGGGTGAGGGGACAACGCTGCCGACAGCACGAACCCAGGACCCACGCACGTATGACTTGTCCCCGTGCACATTCTCCTGGCTTGTCCCTCCCAGTCCAGCCCCAGCTCCCTACTCCCACTCCACCCCACAATTCACTGAGCCCAGTTTGAGCTGTCCTTTCTTTAAAAACCAGGGCACTAGTGGGGTGTCCTAGACCACCCAGGGACAGATGCCCCCACACCCAGCAGCCTTCAGCACCCCAGCCAGGCCATGGTGAACCCCCCCCAACCCCCAACCCCCAATTAATGGGACCATGCCTGACCAGGAACATGGGTGCTGAATTCCGGCCAGACAGCAAGAG